CTGATCCAGACCCCAGGAATGTGGGTGTCAGTGAGGAGACCTTGGAAATCTATGGGGCCTCCTGTAGTAGATCAGTACTTATCCCTAGCATATGAATGGACTTTGGGAGCCCATCCCACATAGAGGGATACTCCCTGGGCCAAGACACACGGGGAGGGGGGGTCCGCTAGGCCCTATCCCAAAGGATAGGATAGACTCTGAGGACCCCCTATGGAAGGCTTCTCCCTCCCTGGGGAGCAGAAAGGATATGTGATAGGTGGGGTTTTAGTTGGGGGGGTTAAGGAGGTGAGGGAGAGGGAACTGGGATTGACATGTAAAACAATCTTGTTTCTAATTCAAATTAAAAAAATCTGGAAAAAAAAAAGATTTAGTACATGAAGCTGAGCAGTGGTGGTGCATGACAGCCTGGTCTACAAAGCTACACAGAGAAACCCTGTCTCAAAAGACAAACAACAACAACAACAAAAGATTCAGTAAATGAAACCTTTATAAAGATGCCACATTGTAAGGGTCTTTCAAACTAGATTTAAAAAAAAAAAAAAAAAACTAGTATGTGTTTCTAATTAGTCTAGTTGGGAAATTACCGATATTTCACAAACAGATAAAAAGCAATAAAACATAAACCAAGGATATTTAGCTTAGTAACATTTTAAGATGCAGCTGTAATTTGGATCCAAAGACTAGTTCTCAGCAAGGCACGATTAGGAGGAAATGGGACCTTTAAGAGATGGAGCCAAATGGGGGGCACTTTGGGTCATTAGGAACCATGCTCCCAAAGGGGTTGTGTAACTCTGACCCATTCCCTCATTTCGCTTTCTAGCTGTGGAGGGAGAGGCTTTTCCTCCAGCACATGTTCCCACTACACTAGGCTGCCTTGCCACAGGCCCAGTGCAACAGAGCTTGTCAGTCCTGGACTGAAACCCCACAACAATGAACCAAAGGAAGCCTCTTCACTCTGTAAGTTGATTTGGCTCAGAAATTGAGTATAGTGACAGAAAGTTGACCAAATAGAGGTTGTTTGATTTTTGTATATTAGACAATAAAGAGTATTCACAGAGTGAATATTTAAAACAATTAGAAAATATTGGCTTTCAGTGTTAACTACTTTTGTAGTGCAGCCCAAACTGGTGTCCTCCTGCAGTCTCCTCACTATTGAGATTACAAGTGTGGGTCACCATACTGGCACTCCCACATGTAACTTTATTTTGAGATTTTTTTCAGTACTTAGTAATATTTTTTTAATTTCCAGTTCTTATTTTAATGTAGTAGTTTGTGGTCTACGTGTCAAGCACATGGACAAACTGCAGTCCCTAACAACCATCCATTTCTGAGACACCTAAGAAGGAAACAGCCGAGAGGGTGAAAGCATCGTCTTCTCTCCTCACTCCTGCCCTCAGCCCTCTGGTGCTGCTCCTTTTGCACACACAATACGAGGTAGACAGCAGGAAGCCTGGTTGTGTAGTCCATGAAGGCTCACCTCTGGGCTCTGAGAAAGGTAGAGTAAGTCCAAATCAACAAAGGGAAGGCCATGCCTAGTAGTTTTGGTTTCCATTAACATGTTTTAGGGGCCCATGATCTTCTTGTTGCTTTAAATACCATCTTAGTCCTGTGTAGTAGATATGATTTCATTTTATTATTACGTGTATTTGTGTGTGTACGTGTGTGCATGTATGCACGTGCCTACGTGTGAGAGTGGATGTCAAAAGATAACTGTGGCAGTTGGGCCATCACCCTATCCTGTAAGTTTTTCATTTGAAAACTCTTCTTCCAGCACCTGCTCTGTCTGGTTGAAGTTGCCTTTTGTGCTGTTCATCTTGATCTGGTTTTCCTGGTGAGAGCTTCTCATACGGTGCCAGCTTAGCTGTAGCTGGGGCCCTAAAGCCGGCAAAGCTCTGTGCAGATGGAGGGTGCTTGGCATCTTGGTTGTTTACTACAGGTTGAGATAGCTTGGACCATTTTGTTGGGAGCCCTCAGTGTCCATCTCTTCGGAGTTTTCTTGATGAATTCATGTCTGTTTCCAGCGTTGCCAGAGCCGGCTAGAGAAGAGCGGTCAGCACTGATTCATCCATCTTCCCTCCTCCTGTCAATATGCCGTTGTGCCACTGAGACCTGCCCTGGGGTCAGGCAGGCCAGAGCATCACCCAATCCCCCTGTCAAGATAATAAAGCTGAGTTTCCTGCAGGGGTCAGGTCTGGCTGCTTCTCAAACTGCTTTCAGTCAACCCCTCCACCTTTGGTTCTTCCTTCGTTTTATTTCAGAACCATTTAAAATTCCACTCTTGGCTTTCAGCGTCAGCAGCATTGAGTTCAGGGTTCTTTAGTTGCTAAGTTAGTCACCAGTTTTCTGTCCTTGAATGCTTGTTTTTTCTCTTCCTGTGAAATGGTGCCTTTAAAAACAAAAACAAACAAACAAAACCTTGGAAAAGTATTATTCTGTGGGAGGTGGTGGCGCACACCTTTAATCCCAGCACTCTGGAGGCAGAGATAGGCAGATCTCTGTGAGTTCGAGAGCAGCCTGGTCTACAAGAGCTAGTTCCAGGACAGCCTCCAAAGCTATACAGAGAACCCTGTCTCGAAAAACAAACAACAACAAAAAAAGAAATTTGTGGATTTTTTACAGAGTGAGTTCCAGCCAATGGGACTATATAATGAGACCCTGTCTCAAAAACAAAAACAAAAAGCCTCCCTTGGACTGATGAGTAATCTAGAAAACATTCATTCTCTTGCTTTTCCATTTTTCTCTATTTATGACCCACCCACAGAGTAATTATTTTTGCTTTCTAAGGCTAAATCCCTTGGACCTACCCAGTAAAGAGAACAGCTTGTGTAAAAGTCAGGACATTTGAAAGAGGAAAGTTATTAGAAAAACAGCAGATTTAGGGCTGTGTACAAGGGGCTTCTAGTTAAACAGGCTTGACTTACATGTGATGCCTGCACTCACCCCCTAAATAACATCGATTTAACTCCCCTCCTCAGCTTGAATTCCTGGTCTGTGCAGTGAGGGAAGTGCTAGCTACCTTTTAGAGTTGGTGTGAGATTAAGCATCATGTTGTAAACTCTGAAATGGTAGTTCATGTTACTGAAATAGACAGAAGCTAGAGTATTTGAGTGTATTTCTGTCTCTTGCACGAAGTCCTACAAGGTTAGGAATTCTGCCCTTCACCTTGTATTTTAAGCATTTAGAGGTGTACCCAACACAGAGAAAACAAATATACGTTAAATGAGTGGTGACGAGTCACTTTAAACTGATTGATGAGTAAATTAATTTCTGTATTTCTAATGGCCAGTTATTCATGTCCCACTGCCTGCAAATACTGACTTGTTGCATTTTTATGTACTCCTGTGTGTGCTTGAGTGTGGAAGCGCAGCATGACTGAGATGCTCTGTCCCTTATATATAGAGTCGGGGTCTCAAGCTGAACCCAGAGCTTGCCCTGGGTTTTGGCTAGTTTGGCTAGTCAGCATACACCAGGGAAATCCTGTCTCTCACATGGTGGAATTACAGGCACCTGGCTTTCACATGATCTAAAGTCCAGTCCTTGTGTTTGCAGACCCATCATTTTACAAACTGAGCCATCTTTCCAGCCCCTGAAAGTACCAACATCTATATAACTTCGTGTAGTAGATGTGAGTGAAACTGTGAGTGCTTATAACAAAGCAATTAATTGGCTTCTTGGTTTTTGTTTTTCCTATCCAGGGAGGTGGTGCAAGCAAACTGTGTTCGCTGGAGAAAGAAATTCTCATTTATGTGCAAAATGAGTGCCAGTGCCTCCACCGGCATCCTGGATCCTTGTATCTACAGAGTGTCTGTACGGAAGGTATAAAAATAGCCTATTATTCCTCCTCTTTCAGAAACCATAATTAGCTACAGTCACTGAGTCACTTTATTTAGATCTGCTTTAACGGTAGAACTTAACTTCGAGATTCTAGCAATAAATTAAATTTCTGTGGAAAATATGGTGGGAAACCTAAGGTTATTACCCAAGAGTCAAAAAACTTTCTTCTAAGAAATACTGCACATAGTGAGTGTTAACCACATTTGTAGTAGCTTGGGAGTGTACATGTCTATATCCTGTCATTTATCAAATTTCTATTCTTCCCTTTTTTACATAACGTTTTTGTTAATTCTTTGAAAATGTCATACAATGTATTTTGACACACTTATGCTCAATACTGCACATAGTGAGTGTTAACCACATTTGTAGTAGCTTGGGAGTGTGCATGTCTATATCCTGTCATTTATCAAATTTCTATTCTTCCCTTTTTTTACATAACGTTTTCGTTAATTCTTTGAAAATGTCATACAATGTATTTTGACACACTTATGCTGCAGTCCTGCTCTTCTTCACATACCCTTTCCTTCTTCACTGCCCTACCCACCCAACTTTGAGTTTCCTAGTTTGTGTTGTCCAATTGCTGTTGGGAGTGGGGCCTGCCCTGGACTGTGGGACAGCTTTAAAGAAAACTGACTGTCCCTCTCGCAGCAGCTATCAAATGCCATTATCTCCCCACCAGTCAGCTACTGTTGGATTTTTTCCCCACTTCCCTCACCCATGCTGGGATTTGCCTGGATTAAGCCTGTGCAGGTCTTGTCTATGCTTGTCATGGTCACTGTGAGTTCTTACATGCATCTGTCTTATTGTGTCCTTCAAATTGTCCACTACCTCTGGCTCTTCCAGTCTTTCTGGCCCCTTTCTGCATAGATCCCTGAGCCTGAGGGGATGCACAGTGTGCTATAGATGCCCCATTCGTGATGAACACTCCAAAGTTTCATATTCTCTGCATATTGACCTGTTGAAGGTCTCTGGGTTAATTGCCATCTACTGCAAGGAATAGCTTCTCTGATTAGCACTAAGAGAGGCCCTGATCTGGAGTTCAGGGCCAGATTCCACCAAATCTCTGTCCTTTGAAAGGTTGTTCTGGGGACTTTGTTCAGTTATGTCTAATAGCAGCCCTGGAATTGGCTGTCCTTTTCTCTATGTTCAGAAAAACTAAGGCTCAGAGAAATGAAGTAACTTGCCCAAATTTACATTGTTAGTAAATGGTAATGGGAAGAATCAAATGCAAATCTCTGTCCTTGTTTATATGTATTTTGTTTTCACATATGAGGTTGAGTAGATCATATAGAAGATCCTAAATTTTTTAATAAAAAAGAAGAATCCGTTAATCACTGCTACAAATGAATTAACTACCATATTTAAAATATAAACTTCATAACCAAGCATGGTAGTGACAAGTCTGTGATCATAGCAACTGGAGAGGCAAAGACAGAAGGATGCCAAGTTCAAGGCTAGCCAAAGCTACATAGCAAATTGAAGACCAGTCTAGGCTATGTCATATGACCCCACCTTGAAAAATAAAAACCCAACTGTGCATTTTACATTTTATACACATTTTTTCTGATTTTTCCTGAAACAAGGGCTCACTTTGTAGCTCAAGCAGGCCTGGAACTCACATGTAGGTTGGACTTGTCTCAAACTCATGATCCTCCTTGCCTCCACCTCCCAAGTATTGGGATTACAGGCATGCCACCACGCCCAGCTTTATATATTCTTTTTTTTTTAAGTTATCAGAGTACATATAAGTCTTTTCGCTCTTTTTCACTCTGGTCTTGCATCTTTCTGTATCGGATTAAAAAGCTATAGTCTTAGATTTGTTGTCCCATGTTTTGAATGAGTTGATAGCAGTATGATGTATGTGGCTTTATTCCAACCTTTTTTATATTGCTTAATACACTCAGTTAGAATACAATAAATGTAGGTGTTCAGAAATGATTTTACAGACTTAGACTTTATGAAAATAGTTGTGTTTGGAGCACCAGTAATTGAGTGAAGGCTTCTGCAGAGGAAGTGTGGTACAGCAAAGGCAGACTTTTAGCAACAGACCCAGTCATACCAGCCTGCCTTTGAGCCCCAAGCATGCCACTTACCAACTGTGAGACCTTGGGCAATTACAATGTTAAATCTCTACATCCAAATAATGTGGTATTCCTTGATTTTTCATGAATGAATGGCTTAGCTGACAAAAAAAAACTACCTTCATCTTACTGCTTTGACTGCTGCTGTATTTTCATTGAACCCTTCTGAGTGGAGTTCTAATCATGATGCTTGAAGGATGATGAGCTAGTCTTTGGATGCTAAGGAAAACAAAGCATATAACCAACTTAAAGTAAAGCCCAACTATAAATTAAATAAGCTCAAGCTGTAGTAAAGCAAACAGAAACTGTAAATGGCAGTGACGCAGAACATACCTCAAATAAACCCTTTCTTATATTATGGAGCTTTGGTATACTCGTTAGGACATTCTTAGCTTGCTTTCTTTTGCTGTGATAAACATCATGGCCAAAGCAACTTAAGGAGGGATGGGTTTGTTTAGTCTTAAAGTGTACAACATGAAGAGAAGTCGGGGTAGGAACTAAAGGAAGGAACTGAAGCAGAAGCCATGGAAGAACCCTGCTTGCTAGTTTGCTCTCTGTGGCTTGCTCAACCTGCTTCCTTATTCACCTCGGCCCAGGGGTAGTACCACCCATAGTGAGCTGAGCTGTGCTCGAGTTCGTGCACACACACACACACACACACACACACACACACACACACACCAATCATTAATTAAGAAAATGCCCCCATAGGCCTGTCTACAGGCAATCTGATGGAGGTTATTTTCTCAATTGAGGTTTTCTCTTCCCAGATGACCTGAGCTTGTGTCAAGTTGACAAAAACCTAACCAGCACAAAACACATATGTTAAACTGGTAAACAGACCCAAAAAAGTCATAAGCTTAAACAAAATGGTATGGAAGTTGCTTCGGAAACTGAGATAAAGATAGTAGCTCTGCCATTGTTAGCATATGGTTCCATCTTTTGATCTAAGAGGACAGCTCTAGTCTTGTTCTCTCTTGATTAGTGGCATAGGGACACACACACATGATTCAAAAATGGTGCATGGGTCTTTTGTACACATCCCTCTGGTTAGAACTTAGTGTGTGGTCACACAAAACTAAAAGGCTGTGACCACCATCTGTAGTCGGGTGACTAGTAGGTTCTAACATGTCAGAAGAGAGGTTGCGAAGTCACCAGTAGTCTTGTGCTGTATTGACTACTCCTGGCATTGAGTTTATTCCATGTAACCTTCCCTAAGTATTGTACAAAGGAAAGATCAGAGAACTCATCTATTTAAACACATTGACCATTAAAAAAAAAGTCATTAAGTAAAGTCACAAATTAGGGGAAACTATTTGTAAATCATATCAAAAAAACTAATTAATACAGAAAGAACACCTCTACACAGTATAAAAGAATCAACAGCACTTGAGAAGTTGACAGCCGACAATATCCCCCTCCAAAAGAAAGTATTTTAAACAAACAATATACCCAATCTTAACACAAATTAAAACTACAAATAGACACCATTTTTGTCTACAGATCTGAAAGACCAGAGTTTGTTAGTGAACACTGTTGCCTAGACACAGGAAAGCAGTCACCAATCAATAAATCTGTTAGTGCCATCCATGTGCCAAGTATTGCTCTGGGGTCTGATAAGACGAATGAACTGGAATGGAGTTGGAACTATTACATTTTACTTTCTGGTGAGAATTGGGTAACAGAAAGCAAGAATTTAGCAAAATAAAATTAGTTTAGTACCGATAAATGCCACACATAAAAAGCTATGGAGAAACAATAGTTTAGGGAAGAACAATTGGTTTTGAAAATTAAGGAGGCATCTCTGCTCTCTGCCCTGCCCCCAGCACTGGGGTGGCAGGCACATGTGGCCACACCTAGCTTTTTAGATGTGTGCTGGGCATCTGAACTAGGTAGGTCCTCATACTTGTGCAACATGCACTCTTTCCAACTGAGCTATTGCCCCAGCATGTTGGTGGGTGAGTGGGTGGGTGGATTGGTTGGTGGGGTTTTGAGACAGGACCTCATGATCCTCCTGTCACTACCTCCCAAGTGCAGAGAGTATAATAAGCATATACTACCATGCCCAATTCGTTTGGGAGATTCTAATAAGAAGAGTCATGAAAAAATAAAAATAAGGAGATTCATGGCCTTTTATAAGATGCTGCTGCTGCTACTGCTGTGGAAAGTTGACTTTAATATCTCAAAGTTGGTTTGGGGGTAGTAGTTTTACACAGAGATGGGCATTATTTTGGCAATCAGATACCCAATTAAAAGTGTGTAGGCAGAGGGCGTGGTCAGGCAGACCTGTAGCCAGCCCCTAAGCAGGTGTGGCTACAGGTTCCCCTACAAAAGTGCAGGACTCTATTACATAAAAAGAAAGAGCAGATACTTAAGGTACAGCTAGCAGCCTTTCTGCAGAAGCTAGATAACGGAGTAGATGAAGGAATGGAGAGGCAGGAGGAACAGTAGCCAGGGAAGCAGGAGGGAAATGGCCGATGTGGTGTCAGAGAGGTGTAGAGAGGAAAATGGTGTAAGAAAGGAGGTAAGTGGTCAAGCCCATCACAAGCTGAGAGGCTAAGACAGAGACAGAGCTTTCAGCTTTAACAAAGTAAAAATCACTGGGAATCTTGAGCTTCTAGAGAGGGAAAATGAGGACAGATCCAGTTGGAGAGGGTTGACTAGAACAGAATGCAGCAGGAAGAGGTTCAAGTCGTTTCAATGTTTGTTCATGTGCTTGTTTATTCTTCTCTCATACATTACATCCAGACCACAGTTTCCCCTCTCTCTACTCCTCCCAGTCCCCACTGGTCAGAAGTCTTGAATTTTGACCATAGAGGAACGACAATGAAAATAATAAAGTGGAGGATCCAAGGAACACCTAGAGGACATCTGCTTTTGTTTAAGAATGGCACTATTAAGGGATGTGAAGTGACCCAGTGAAGAAAAACTTGCGATAACTCATGTGGAATAGAAACAGTGGCAGGAGCTGGGTAGTGGTGGCACATGCCTTTAATCTAAGCACTCTGGAGGAGAGGCAGGAGGATCTCTGTGAGTTCGATGCCAGCCTGGTCTTCTGAGAAAGTTCCAGGATAGCCTCCAAAGCTATAGAGAAACCCTGTTTCAAAAAACCAAAAAAAGAAAAAAGAAATAAAGAAAGGAGGAAAGCAATAGAGGCAGGAATGGGAAGGAACTGCAGATATTCGTAAATAATAATAGAGCTTCCTGTAGCCTGTCTGGACTTAATTAAATTCACGGTGTGAAAGACAGAAATAATAGATAATGCTTCAGTATCAGAGCTGCAAAAAAGAAGGAACAAGTCTCTCAGTAAAAGTGTTTTTAAAGTGACTTTAGTGAAAGGAAGTTTGTCCATGATGATAGGAAGAAAAAGTGTGTGGGGTGGGAAGCATTTTCCCAAGCACTTTAGTCTTAGCTCTCACAGATGTGCATTGTCCTAAATTAAAAAATGTGACCTACAGTCCCGGCTGAGGGAAGCTGAGGTGAGCTACTTGAGCTCCAGGAGCTCAAGGCCAGTCTGTGCAACGTAGAGAGACTCCATATCAAAATCTGACTAAATAAATAAAGCTGTAAGCAAAGTGAAAAATGTGGTCATTTTAAGGTGTTTTTATTGATTTGAATAGTTGGATTTAAAATCAGTCTATTTTATTGTCTATGACATTTACTAGCATATAAATATCTACTTCAGAATCATGTGACTTACATTTAGTCTTAAATCCTTCATCATATAATGTCCTCATAGTGTTTTCTATATTTGCAGGAATTAAAAGGTGGCAAAGCTTATGCAAAGGTAAGTAGATGTTCTCTAACTCCTTTTTGCAATTCATAATGTTGCTATTGCAATCTGTAGGCTTTTAATTGTAACTCAAGCTTGACTCATTTTAAGTAAAGCAAATTGGAGATTGAATAGTTGGATCTAACAATAAAGTATTACAATACTCTTTTGGGAGAAATGGCTCAGTGGTGAGGAACATTGGCAGTTCTTCCAAAGGACCTGGGTTCTGTTCCAGCACACAAATGTGACTGTAACTGTCTCTAACTCCAGTTCCCGAGGACCCAACCCCCTCTTCTGACCTCTTCAGGCACTGCATGCACCTGGTGCACATATGTAGGTCACATACAGACAAAACACCCATACACATAATAAAAATAAATGAATTTTTTTAAAAAATAATATTCTGAGAGCTTATGATGGGCTGTTACCCTTTAGTCTTAGCCTCCCTACTGGAAAATGTTCTCTGGTTTTCTTAACACTATAGCTTACTGATGACACAAAACAAATAGAAATGAGATATTGCTGCTCCAATATCTGGATATTAACCAATATCCAATAATTGGTTAATCCACTGACTGAGGAATGTGGTCAGAGATCCATTATCCCCTTTCCCTCTGTGACTCCCTTATTCTTGGTCAACACTACACCTGGACATCGGGTGTCTAGTTGCTCAAGTTTTTTTTGGTTTTTTTGTTTTGTTTTGTTGTTGTTGTTGTTGTTGTTGTTGTTGTTTTGCAACACAATTCATGTGCAGAAAATACCTCTGTGTGGTATTTTTGTTGAGTAAGGAAGAATTTCCTAGATGCTCTCAGATGGCTCCCCTGTATGTTTTACTGAGTATGACTGGACCATATGTCCACCCCAACCACCTGTGGCCATAGGAATGGATTGCTGTTGCTGAGCTAGACTGACCACAATGCGGCAATGTTATGGGCTCTGTGTGCACAGGATAAGTAAGGACATTGAATTTCTGAGGGAAAGAACGTTTGAGCAAGGACGATTGGGGCACTGAGGGTTGAGCAGGCAAACAACAAGGTCTGTTGCTGGTAACTGTTCATAAATTATTTTCTCTTCTAAGAGTTCTTAAAATGATATTCTCCCTCCTTTTGTGAGACTACTGCCTGCATTATTTTCTATTGACAGCCCCTTTTGGCCTCCTGCTTAGTCTGTCCTCTCTGTTGTCTAACTCCATCTTCCTTAGTCCTGCCAGAGTGATCTTTCTAAAATAAAACATGATATATCATTCCCCACTTTTAGTTCTTCAGTAGTTATCCACTGACTGTAAAGGAAATTGGAAATTCTGTAAGCTAATAAATAAAATCCATTTTGGTTTGCCCATTGTTTCTGCTTCCTCGCCTCTTCTGTCTGCCACCTGTGTTGTCTGTCTCTGTTATTTCTCCCCCACCCCTCATTCTTACGGGGCATACTGCCATCGTTAACTTCCTGGAGCATCTCATGCTATTTTAGCTTCTTTGCCTTGTGACTTGACACCATGCATGTCTTCCTCCCAGCCCTTGTCCTTTCAACTCATGTATCATTAAAGATTCGGCTTAGTCATACCTTCCCATGAGAACTCTTCTTCTCCTCTCTTATAACTGTGTCTTCCTTTACCACAGCACTTACAGGCAGTGCTATAGGAGAGCTTAAGGAAGAGCATCAAATAGGCCTTGGGTTCCATCAAACCCAGCACCAGAAAAGGGGAAAATATGCTATATTCCTAATTAATGCCTAATGTTACTTGGAATACGAATGTTAAAAAATGTTTTCTAAATAGGTTAATGCCTGCCACAAATGTGGTGTGTATGTATGATGGATTTATGAGACATACATAGGAAGTGCATACACATAGATATTCATGTGACAGTTATCTTGGTGAAGCCAAAGAAAGTCATAAGGAGGTATGGATTCTCTGGCACCATGCTATAAAGTCTGCAATGTGAGTTCTTTGAAGTCAGAATATGTTTTCCCGCTCCCCATTGTTCTCCTGGGTCTACGTAAGAGTACGGCACATAAAAGGTACATTGGCATGTCACTTTTGGTTTTTGCTGCTATACCAAAGTACAACAGACAGGCTGACGTAAGGAAAATACATTTAGTTCTCATCATTCTAGATGCTGAGAAGAAGTCTAAGCATACAATACCAGCAGGTCTAGTGTCTGTGGAGAGCCTACTTCCTGGCTTGCAGATGACCAGCTTCTCGATATGTCACCATGTGCCAGATTTCAGAACAAGCATGAAAATTCTGTCCTCTGCTAAAAGTGCATTCATCCAGACCTTAGTGTACAGATCAGCCATAGAGCACATACTGACATGTTCCCAGCACCAAAAGGGGGAGGGATGCATTCATTCATTCATGAGGGCTTCAGTCTCAAGGCCTGATTACTTCCCAAAGCCCCCACTCCATCCCATCCTATTGTGTGTTAGACTTCCAACATAGAAATTCTGGAGAAACAAAAGCATGCAATCTGTAACAGAGATCCTTAGTGACAGTATAAAACCAGTACTGCCACAGTAGATGGTAAGTTAACGGGGAGCTAGACTTTATTTAGACTGCTACCATTTGAACCTTGATGTGAATGGAACTGGAAAGTACCAGATTATCTAAAAGTGAGTTTAAAAGCATTAATGGCCTTGAGTTGACCTTGGCACATATGGCTAGCAGAGTTAAGGGATCAACTGGGAAGGAGAAAGTTAATGTGGTCAGATGATCAGAGGCAGCATAGACAACTCTTTAAAGACTGGTTGTTTTGTGGGGTTTTTTTCTTTGTTTTTGTTTTAGTGGAGGATGAACAGAAAAATAATCCAGTAATCTGGAGAGATGTGGGACAGGTTTGTCTGATTCCCTAAAACAGGAGAAAATCCAGCATATTTGTGTGCTGGTGGGAATATCTAGTAGAGAAGGGGTAAATTAGAGTGTCAGGCAGCAGGAAAAACTATAACATAAGCATGGGAGGCAAGAAGCCCCCAGGGAACACAGCCATGTCATCCGTAGACATGAGTGGGAAGGCGGGTAAGTAGCTGCGCCTGGCACCAAGCATTTTTGGAAGCTCAGTGCTCTGGACCGCCCTTACTTTCTGAGTGAAATAGGCAACAAGGCCATCGATGAGCAGGGAGCAGGGAAAAGTCCTGGAGCTTTAAAGGGGAGAGAATGTATGAAATAGCATGTGTTGATAACAGATGATCAAGTAAGTCCCACGTGTCTTCACATGCTCACTCAAATGTTTCTTTGCATGGACCCATGCTGGCTTTTCCTCCTGTGTTGCTCCACTAAAAGGCAGAAAGACTGGACTAACCATGTGAAAATTCAGCAGCTCTTGCCTATGTCTAAGAGTGTGCCTGATTTACTGCATTGGGCTTCCATGATTCTCTGAGCTATTTTCTTCACTCTTTTCACACCAGCTAAAAACTACTGAAATAGTGGGAGCAGGGGCTGTCTCTGACTCTTGTTGCCTGCTTTTGGAACCCTTTCCTCCTACCAGGTTGCCTCATCTAACCTTAATAGGAGAAGAGGTGTCTGACTTACTGCAACTTGATATGCCATGTTTGGTTGATATCCATGGGAGACCTGCCCTTTTCTGAAGAGAAATGGAAGAGGAGTAGTTGGGGGAGGGTGTGACCTGGGAAGATAGAAGGGGGGAACACTTTGATTGGGATGTAAAAACAAAAAAATTAAAAATTAATTTAAAAAACCTACTGAAATAATGCTCCAATATGCAATTAAAACCATCCTCTTGCATGCCCCTACTGGTGGGTTAGAGAGCTGACTCATAGGGAAGATGCTTGCCACACACGTGTAAAAAGTTGAGTTTAGATCCCCTAGAATATGTAAACCCAGAATCTGTGCTACAGTGAGATGGGAAGTAAAGCCAGGAGAATCCCTGCAGGTCAGCTTGCCTAGCACGTACAACTCAGCGACAAACAACCAAGAGACGCTGCCTCAAACATGGTGGAAGGTGAAGACCAAAGCCTGAAGTTGCCCTCTGACCTCCGCACACTCACTGTTGGATGTGTGTACCTATGCCTACACATACTTACCACATACTTTATACACACACACAAAAAAAAAACCTCAGCAATGTTTGAAACATATTATGCAGCTTATTACATGTCCATAGAGATGTGCTTAATTCACTTTTTGTTCATAAAAAATGTATACACTTAGTTATGTAGGAGTAAACTACTAAAATAACGATATTGGGGCACAGTTGAACAGTGAATCTGAGTTAAGCACATCAGAGGAAAAGACTCGAGCAAGCTTTGATAATGGCATTTCTGGGTAGCAGTGTGGAAGAGGAACAAGTTTGAACTGAACTCCTGGGTAGCAGCAGAGAGGATAGGTGTGGGTCAGAACCGTGAGCAAGGGAAGCAGCAGCGTCCATAGAGAGACGCAGCTGAAGGATGGTTGGTTAGCAGGAAGATGAGGGAGCAAAGGAGGCCCCTACTAAAGAAGGGAAGAGGCTCACCTGAGTCCTGGTGAGTTCGTAGAGAATGGGAACTTAACCTGTTATGATCTGTAGTCCCCCATGGCTAACTCAGCATAGGGCAGGATCCAGAATAGAGGATTGAGAGTCTGGGCGTGGCTGCACAGGAGCACAATTGCCCGTTATCCCCACAGTGCAATGTGAATGTAGGTGTTACTGTGAGTGATTTTGCCTTTTGATGTGCCTTAGTTGTACTGTCACAGTCATATTTATTTTAATGTGTACTGAAATGTATTCAGCACAGCACATCAAGCCCATGATAAAAGATGAATAGAATCAGTAGTAGATTTTTATTAAAAGCAACTAAATTAAGGACCTATATAAAGCAAATGATAAAATGGGTAGTAGTAAGAAGACAAGAACTGAAAGGTTTGAGAAGACTCATGGGTTGAATGTCTATTTTAAGGAGATATGATAGAGCCTACTAGTGGTCTATTAATATGATTCTCTTTCTTTTCATAGCTGGGCTTTGCAGATCTAAACCTGGCAGAGTTTGCTGGATCAGGAAATACCACCCGTCGCTGTTTACTGGAAGGCTATGATACCAAAAATACAAGACAGGACAATTCCATTCTTAAAGTAAGCCCTCTTCAAGATTTACATGCCAATAAAAGAGATTTTCTGCATCTAACTAAGCACAGGTATCTGTTGTCATGGATTCAATGGGACTCCATATTGAGGTCATGAACCGTCCGTCACACCTAGGAAAAGACACTTGGAAGCCATAGAAGCAGTGAAAAGTAATGATCACCTTTATGGTCCAGTGTTTCTCATTGGTGCTGTGAACATACCACGACTACAACAGATTGCTTGTTGGAGAGAGGGAACATGATGATTAGATACATGGCCTGGTCTACAGAGTGAGTTCCAGGACAGCCAGGGCTACACAGTGAAACCCTGTCTTGAAAAGCCTAAATAAGCAAACAAACCAATGTAGGAAAAGAGGAAGTTAAACGAGAACCATGCTATGAACTTCAAGTCTATTTGATTTTGTTTTTATATACCTCTGAAAATCTCTCAGCGCCCTTACACATACCCCCACCTCCATGAGATTGGCAAGTCTAGATAGATGGTGTCTTAGTTAAGGTTTCTATAGCTGTGAAGAGACACCATGACCATGGCAACTCTTATAAAGGAAAACATTTCATTGGAGCTGGCTTACAGTTTTACCCCATCATGGTGGGGCATGGCAGCATACAGGCAGACGTGGTGGTGGAGAAGGAGCTAAGAGTCCTACATCTTGATCCAAAGACAGAAAAGGAGACTGTCACACTGGCCAGACTTGAGCTTATTTATAAGACTTCAAAGACCACCTTCACAGTGATGCACTTCCTCCAACAAGGCCACACCTCCTAACAGTTCCACTCCCTATGGGACAAGCATTCAAGCACATGAGTCTGTGGGGGCCATTCTTATTCAAACCACTTCAGATAGGGAACCATTTTTTGTTTTTTTTGTTTTTTTGATTTTTTTTTAATCCCTGTTATATAATGGAGGTGAGACTCAGAGGCTAGGTGCCTTCTTTAAGAGAAGTAGTGGGTGATGGAGTTGAGACCAGCATGCATATCTGCTGTTTGGTGGCCTTCATATTGCTATGCCCTCTAAGCCCCCTTCTCAAAACCCACCAACTATACTATTCATTCTGAATGACCCCAAACAAGTTATAAAAATATTCCAGTTAAAAATATATGTATTTCTTATATTAAAAAACAAATAACCCATCTCTAAATACCACTGCTTTTGCGTGCGTGCATGAGTGTGTGTGTGTGTGTGTGTGTGTGTGTGTGTGTGTGTGTCCTTTTTTTGTGACAAGTGCTGTAACCATCAAGTCATCTCCCCCACACTGAAGTAGCTTTTTAATTTTAGGCAATCGCCCCTCTCCTACCACCATCTCCATGTCCCCAGCCCTCGTGGTCATCTCACACAGCTGTCTTCAACCCTACCCCTTTCTCAGGGTCTGCCAGGCCTCTTCCCACCTCCCTCTTACCAGCTTAGAGTGCACAGTTCACAATTCTCCTCCATGAGTTACCACTCCAGTACCCTATTGCTGTCCCTGAAGATCTCCAACCCTACTTGATTTGCCTGTGTCCTCCCCAAGTCTGTCCAGAGCTGAATGTCACTGGAGGACACACAGATGAGTGGGCATTACTGAAATCGGGCTCACCTCCAGCTGGCAGCCATGCTCTGCCTCCTGTCCCAGTTTAGAGATTCACCTTCCTGCCTTTTTCCTCAAGGTATTTTCATACCCCACATTTTACCTCAACTAAGCTTCTCCGTTATTGAAAAGATAGAACTCGTTAAGCTCACATACCCTCATCATCCCTGCATAGGGCTTACACTCTACTTGTCTCTCCAGTCCTATTACAGTGCATGACTGCTGTCTTGCCTATGGTTACAGGGATGACATGACCCTCTTCCTGTAAGAAGTCAGTCCTAGTCTTAGTAGACTTCCTAGGGGAGGCCTTACACTAGGAAGGAGGGGGGGAGTGGATGGAGCAGGAGGGAGGGGGAATTGGGATTGGAATGTAAAAAATAAATTAAAAAAAAGAAGAAGAAAGTCAGTCCTTCCGCTTGGGCTCTAGAATCCACACAGGCATAATCAAGGATTTTTCTCCTTGGATCATCTGCACTTAGTCATCGCTCCCTTTAATGGACCATCTTTGTCAACATACAAAGAAACAGCTGTAGGGTGTGTTAAGAACAAAGCTCAGCTTATCTCTTATCGCTGTGATTCTCTGTTCTGCCTCACTACACAATTCTTCCATCCCATGACCTTCCGATAGTCACGAGTGCAGTCCTGTAGAGTTGGAAAACAGACTAGAGAATTGTATAAAGAAGAGGCAGTAAGAGAACCAACACAACAGGACAGCTCTGAGAATTAAGGAAAAAATAAAATAAGAAAGGGACAGTGGTGGAGGTTCTGGGTAGAGGGCTATGAATGAAATAAGGTTGTAGAAGATGATAAGGTCAAACATTAGCTGGAAAGTGTTCAATAATCTTTAAGTGTCCTCTTTGTCATTATGACTATGAACTCAGTGAGTGTGTTCCTGGGTTCTGCCCTGTGCCAGCTCTGATTCAGAAAATATCCCCTGAGCTCTGTGGTCTCAAGATGAGAATGTTGCTCTCTCGTTGGAGTGCTGAAGATGAGATGATGTGTATAGGACATGCAGTTTATATCTGGAACATGAGTTCCCAAATCAATCCAAGTGTGGTGACACATGTGTGTGATCCCAGCACTAAGGGCATGCAGGCAGAAAGATCTTAAGTTTGAGGTTATCCTTGACTACATAGCAAGTTTGAGGGTAACCTGGAATATGGAGACTCTCAAAGAGCCAAAACAAAATAAATTCTAAAGTCACTATCATCGGGAATGTCATTATTATTATTTTTCCCACAAGAGTGTGAATTTGAGGCTGGGAATATTGCCTGGTTTCAGGAAGCTGCCTAGCACACACAAAGCCCTGGGTTCAATCCTCAGCACCACATAAAGGATATGGTGGCACACGCCTGGGATCACAGAACTCAGGAAAGAGGAAAAGGCAAAGTTTAAGACCACCCCATGACACATAGTGAGTTCAAGGCCAGACTGTCTCAGAAAAATAAATAAATAAATAAAGGAGTGCTATTGTCCTGTGGTGGATTCTTAAAAGTAGCTTAGCAACCAATGAATATCAGCATCTCAGAAGGAAACAGCAAGGCTTTAGTCCTGGTCCAACGCTGACGCAAAGGCTCCCTGCCTTTTAGAGCCACGAGCAGATATCCCATGAAGCCGCAGCCTGTGGAACTGAAGGGCCTCATTATCAAATATTTACATCCCACAGGAATCTAGAGTAAACACAGACAAACCAGACACAGACACATGCTAAGGAAGGATTATTGCTGGGAAATGCTTACTTTTCATTCTTATCTCTTTCACAAGGTCTTGAACATTAAAGGTGATTTTTAGTCCATACATAAAGCACTAATTGAATATTGGGTATACCCTCATCAAACATTCATTTCACTTAATGCTTTCTGGATAGAAAATATAATACTGGGTGTCACAGGGGAAATACACATTAGCAAAAGCTGGCTTCTGGAGAATCCCTTCTAATTGTGGCATTTGTCACTGTTTTGTTTAGGTTTGGATCAGTATGCAGCTGATGTCTGGTGACCCATGTTTTAAAACGTAAGTTGATAACCAGTAAGTGGATTGTTCACCTGCAACTATGAATCAAATCGAGGCAGATTTGTAGGCAGACTGTGGTAGACTGACCTGAGTGTCGTAGAAGTGACTATTTCCTATTACCCAGTAAGCTTACCACTCCCAGAATGATGCAAGTTATGGATGATTTGCTATCTTTGGGTTTCAGGTTTGAGATGAAATTGTACAAACTGAGGTTTTAATTTCCTTTCTATTTCCTCATTCACTTCTTTAACAGATACTCAGTAGGTGCCTTACAGTGTGTGGTACTGCATTCTAACCTTGGAGACAGCAGTGAGCAAAAGACAATGCGTTCTACCACCTTAGAGCTTATACTGTAAGAAACAGCCAAGTAAGGATAAACCGAGTAGGAGCCTGGGAATAGGCATACTGATGGGGGAGCAGGGCAAGCGGGAAAGAGCTTTTATATTGAGTATCAGGGGAGGTCTCCCTGCTTAAGATGACATTTGAGTAGAGACTTGAAGGAGGTGGGAAGCGTGCAACATGGATATTTAGAGAAAGAGTATTCAAGGTGGAGGGAATATGGAGCAAAGCCTAGAGAGGATACTGTTCCCAGAATGCTCAAGTAACTGCCTGGAGACCTACCTATCTCGAGCAGAGGGAGTGAAGAGCTTGGTAACAGGAGATGAGGTCAGATGGTCATCTTGTGGGCCATTAGAATAAGGATTCCAGTTACCTTCTGAATAAGATAAAAGGCTATGGAAGTTTCAGGTGAAAAGTAAATGCTCTAATTATGATGCAAGGTAGAAAAGAGACAATCTGAGGGAGCTCTGATGGGAATAAGGACAGAAGCAGTAGATTGTGTGACCGTTTCATTAGTTAATGTTTCTCCCCTGAGAAGCCACAAGAGGAATTATTCAGAGCTCAGATGTAAGACACAACAAAACACACATCTAAAAAGAGAATTTGCAAAGCATTCTGATGTGATCCAAATCCTTCCCTTACAAAGGAGGAAACTGAGACAAAGCAATTGTCTTGGCCAAGTGTGTCTGTGTGGAACCGAAGGTAAATAGCTACCACAGAGATGCATGCCCTGCTCTGCTGGCTGCCCCATTGACATGAGAGATGTGCACACAGCACACAGTGTTACAGGGGAAGAGAGTGGAGGGACTCTAACCACCACTGTTCCTTGAAAGACAGAACGTCCTCACTGAGGGGGTTGTGGCACTGGGCTAAGTTATGATGAATAAGAATGTACACTAAGCGTGAAAGTCAAGTAGAGACATTCCTGGAAGAGAAAACAAGTTGACTCACACACAGGGCATTGTTGTGCACGGGATATTTGTGGAATATCCAGTACATAATGATGTCATTTTTTTTCACAGACTTTGAGCATTACTTTAAAATTAAAATAATTCTCATTTCTTTAATCTGCAACTATGCTGTATTAATGGATTCTGACAAAGAATATTATACATTTTTTTTAACAAAAGGAGCAATAGAATAGAGCCAGCACACACTGGGTTGTTAGTCACTGAACTGGGTTGTCCTGGGCAACAGAACTGTAGCAGCCTAGTTAAGACTTCAGATTCTGAGTGTGCTGTACTAACAGGCCATGGTCTGCTTGTTCTGTCTGAATGCTAGTTGCCCCCGTCTTCGAGTACTCGGCAGAAATGACTCCCGGGTCTCTGAGACAGCAGGACAGGAGTGCCAAATTCATGGTAGTGTTAGGTATGTTGTGGCTGTAATCACCTGTGGAAGGGAAGAGACTGACGTTTAAGAATCCAGGCTTGCAGACACCGGCCAGTCACTGATGATTTATGACTGTTATTGTAGACTCCATTCTCTGCATGAATCTTTTATATATTTTTCCCATGAAATATTTAATGGAGTTTTTTTTTTTCTTCAACTAAGTTCTTTATGTTATTCAAACATGTAACTTAGCTGGGCCTGGTGGTACAAGGCTGTAATCCTAGCACTCAGAAAACTGAGGCAGGAGGATCTTCACGACTTCAAGGCCAGTCTGGGCTACATGCAGTTTACTAAGCCAGCCAGGGCTATAGAGTGAGATCATGTCTAAAAAAATTATACCCCCAAAATATCACAACAAAAGTCAAAATACAATTATTGGTAATTAAAGAGGTCACTCTAAGTTGGACTTGTGAAGAGCCTTGGGCATCATGCTAGGCGATGGAGCTATGGAAGGGTTTGCCTTGGCTGTAAGACATGGGCTCATATAGCCAGGGTTGGTATCCAGCTTGCTGTGTGCCCAAGGATGATCTGGTCCTCCTGCCTCAACCTCCTGAAATTACAGGACTATGACACCTCTCTCTAGAACTGGATTCTCTCTCTAGAACTCCACAAGACAGTGCTCTTTCTGTTCCAAGTATTTTGTTGTATAAAAGCCCCTTTTCCACAGGTGAGAGAGATGGCTCAGTGGTTAAGAGCACTTGCAGAAGACCAAAGTTCAGTTCCCAGCACCCATGTCAGGTGGCTCACAATCATCCGTAACTCTAGTTCCATGGAATCCAACACCCTCTTTCAGTCTCTGCAGGCACCTGCACATGTATGCATGCATACACATATACAAAGATAAAAACAAAATCTTTGTATAAAAATCTCTCCCACATTTATTGTTCAGGTTTCAGGTTCTAAAAGATGCATATGGATTATTTAATGGCTTTTATTTCATCCTTAAAAGGCTAACTGTAATAAGCAGCTTGCCAAGGCCAGGTACTGACCATACCATGACTCTCTAACAGTAATTCAAACCTTCGGGCTCACATGTGATTCAAATCTGATCCTTAGACTGTCTATTTACAGGCCTCCCTCCACATCCATGTCAATACCAATCGCTGGGGAACCCGAGTCTCTGGAGGAGGACAGAAAAGGTGGCGAGACTCTCAAAGTGCATCTTGGAATAGCAGGTATGAGTAGAGAGCTTCCCAATCCTTTAGTTTCTGAAAAATGATACTATTCCTAATAGATTCCTAAACCCCGAGGGGCGGTCAGGATGGCTCAGCAGGTCAGGGTGCTTGCTGCCAAGCCTGATGACCTGAGCTTAATCCTTGGAATCCACACAGTTTAAAGAGAGAACAGATTATCCTCTGACCTCCACATGAATTCTGTGGCACATGCATGTCCACACACACACATACACAAAAGCAAACAAATGAATGTAAAAAGAAATTCCTACAACCCACCCACACGTAAATTTGTATGCACTCATGACTTGGAATCTGACAGTTAGTACGTCAGCCGAGCCAGTACTCACTTGTTTAAAGTACTTGTTTAAAGTGCTCTGACAGTGACAGCTGAATGTTGCGCTAACACTGCCTCTCACTGGCTGTATCCACTCCTTACAAACACAAGAACCTCCAATTTTCCCCATTCCTCCCTCATGCTTGGCACATTCGCCTGTCAGCTCTTTGGTGCTGCTTCTCCTGTTTCCCTTCTTGTTGCTTCTCAAGTCTCGCTGTGCATTTGATTTACCTGGGGGCTGAGGGTGTTAAAACACATTGCTAGTTGGTCAATCCAAGTTGGTGCCTGGAACTTTACAATGCACACCAGTTCAGCTCCTTTGTTTCCTGCTGCTGGCCCCGAGCACACTTTGAGATCCACTTCCCTAGACATCTTCCAGGAGAGGCAGAATCTACTGTGGTTGCTAAAAGCAGGGTAGGCAGGGTGCCAATCTGGCCACAAGAAAAGGATATAAGAGTTTCCTTCTGTCTCCCAAATTATGGGAACAGAGTGTATTGTTGGAAAGAAAGGTGAAGTACTAGGATTAACATTTTCACTGCTTTTTCAAATGTGCAGTGATAGGGTTTCTTATAAGTAATTTTGAGAATGGATTTCTTGATTTAAGATCAGCTAATCTTATGAATACTGTTAAGCTTTCCATTAACTCCCCATTCAGCACTTAAATACCCTGAGCTGTTGTCTACAGTGGGAAAATATAAAGTAGACCCTATTATTCCTTTTGATAGGATAATATCCATCTTCTCTATCTTCTGTTGTCTTCTAGACTCCAGCAGTCTAGTATTGTATAGACAGACAGCAGGTAGACAGAAGTAGCATCAAGAGAATACATATTTGGGGCATGCATCACAGTTATGTAGACAAACGACTAGAAATCAGTACTGCTTGGATTCATTATTTTTCTTATTGCTGTGTCAAAAGAAGGCTATTTGGGCTCATGACTTTTCCTCTTCCCGATTCTTAGGGATTTCTTGAGCAAGCAAGGTGGTTCAGTGAGGAAAGGCGTTTGCTGCCAATTCTGATGACCCAAGTTCAATCCCTAGGACCCACTAGTGGAAACAGATGTTTTCCAACAGCTAGTTAGTTATTTGTTGTCTAGCCTGGCCTCCATGTGTATACCATGTGGCATGCACGCACAAGCAGGCACACACACATAAATAAATAAATAAATAAATAAATAAATAAATAAATAAATGTAATGAATTTTTTAATCTGTTTGTAATTGGCGCCTGCTGGGGGAGGGAAATCGAGTTTTCTTCAGGGGTGTGGCCCCTCAGAGGCTACCCATGCTCCAGTAGATGGTCCTACACTCATGCACATAGAGGCAGCACTAAGTGAATTCAGTGGATTTAAGAACACAGCACATTAAGTGGGTAGGGAAAAGTGATGGAGAAGTACAAGAGGAATTGGAGAGGAGGGAATAGATGGCAAATTTGATCAAAGCACATTATATGCATACATGAAATTCTCAAATAACAAAAAAATTAAGAAGAAACTTCCTTAAAGTGTCAACTATAGCTATGATATAGAACACTTGCCTGTGCACTTGAGGCCCTGGGCTATGTCCCCACTCCTTCAAACACAGAAACTAAGGCATAAAAACAACCCCGCCTCCTCTCCATTGTTGATATTCCACAAGGGTTTGGTCCCCTCTACTTAGTTTTCTGGGCAACGTGATTGATCTTCACCCCTATAATAACTTCCTCATAAATATAAATGTGTGTTAAATACTTTCCATTCACAAATATGTGTTTCCAAATATTTTAGGGAAGACCCACTTCATGACACCTATGATTACTTGAGTTTTTGAGCTCATCTTTCTCCCCAGCCAGACTTGGGATTCTTTGTGATCGGTGCTTTATAGCCCAGCAGACCAGGGACAGGTCAGAATGTGATGAGCATTGATTGTCAGTATTACATACTCAGTGCAGATTTGCCTAACTCTTTCACCTACTGCTCAGGTACCCTGGCACAGTAGTTGAATCCCACCATTTATGCTAAACAGCTCTCACTCTCAGCTGGATTACAATAAAAACCTTCACTCTTCACCCAGTCTGCTTCTCCCTTTACTAAAGTGATCTTCACACAGTATAGCCTGCAGTGGTACGCCCTGTCTTAAAGTCATTGAAGTATTTCTTTCATTCAGCTTGCAGAAAGGTCTTCATCAGCTGGCCTGTGCTCAAGTTCAGCCTCTTTTCCAGTTGGTCATCTCCCCACTGCTCGGGGGACTGCACCAAACCATTTGCTACTCTACAAGCTTGTTGTGCCCTACGCCCTTCCCTCCTCAGCGAGCTGAAAGGCTTCTTCCTACATTGGCAGATCCTGAGCTAGCCTCCTCTCTGAGGTCTCCTCCTGTGTAGTATTGTATGCACTGGCCTTTGGAGTCCTTAATACCTTGGTTAATGCTGGACACACTGTATTCTCTTTGCTTCTATTTCCAAATTTTGAGCATGTGTTTTGTCTCATTTACTTTGTGTCCCCAATGCCTCACTTTCACCTATACCATAGACAACTGGTTTGATAAGAGCTTAATAAACTTTTATATGGATTGAATACATTTTGAAAACCAGGAGACAGATGGCTGAGATCTGAACCCAATGCTGGGATAGGTTTTGGGTGTACAGGAATCTCCATGAACTATCTCCTGGAAAGGCTTTTGTTGGAGTTAACCTTTAGGTTTACGGCTGTTGTAGAGAGATTTTAGGGATCCTGGCATTCTGCCTGGACATGAAGAGTCTTTACAAAGGACCAGTGGCTTGCATGTTGGCCCAATCATATACCATCTGTCTCATTTAGAGAATTACTGCTGTGGCAACTATCTCACTTAACTGCTTCCTTCTGCTCCTAAGTTAACAACAGTTCCAGTTTCCAAGTGTTTTACACTAATGCTAAACAGTCACAGATCTGTCTTCTGGAGGATGGCTAGTTCTACAAGTACATAATTGCTATCTAGACTATGAGCATACATAGGGACCTACTGGAAACAGTGTTGGAACTGTTTTGTCTTTTTACTTTCAAACTGTACTATCACCAGTTTCTTTTTTTCTAAGATTTTTCTTGATTTTATTTTTAGTGTTTAGGTGTTTTGTCTGTAGGCATGTCTATGCACCAGGGGCATGCAGTGCCTATAGAGACCAAAAGAGGGTATTGTTTCCCTGGAACTGGAGTTACAGGTGGTAGTGAACTGCTGTGTGGGTTCTGGGAACTGAACCCAAGTTCTCTGGAAGAACAGCCCGTGCTCTAAACAGCTGCGCCATCTCCAACCTTGAAACCAGTTTCTTAAGAACTTTCATCCTGGGTACTATACCCTATGCTGTGTTGCTAAGTTATAACATTGCCCCCTGGATAGCCTAGCACTAGGAAGGCTGACATTAAATCACTAAAGCACCTTTATTTCATTACTGGTGTGAATTCTGAACACGTACGATCTCCTCAACACTACCTAAAATCAAAACAAAACAAAATACTAAAGTGGCAGGGCATGGTGGAGCACGCCTGTAACCCCAGAACTGGGGACAGCAAGGAAGAAGGATCAGGAGTTGAAGGCCAGTCTCAACTACTGAGTGGATTTAAGGATAGCTGGGCTTATATGAGACCCTGTCAGATGGATGGATGGATAGATAGATAGATAGATAGATAGATAGATAGATAGATAGATAGATAGATAGATAGATAGATAGATAGATTAGAGTAAAGGGTGGGGGGAAAATACCAAAATCCAGCAGCTTCATGAGAATTTGTAAGAATAAGATCGATTAGAGAAATGTTGAACACACACACACACACACACACAAAACCCTAATTGTTTTAAGACACACACATTATGAAAGTACCCTAACTTTCCAATGAATTAAAATGTTCTTGCATTCTTTCATTTCTTGCAATGTAGTTGTTTTCATTGTACCAATTTGAAGGAATCTATCACTTTATAATTCACATTCCTTGATTATGAACTTGCAAAGTAATAAAATCTGTAGGTTAGATTACAAATTAGATGTTGACTTGGTAGTAATAACAACATCATTTGACTTGTTGCAGATCTTTCAGCAAAGAGTGCCTCTGTTCCAGATGAACTTGGTGCCTGGGGACATTCTAGAACATCAAGCTATGCAAGCCAGCAGTCCAAAGTATCAGGTAGAGGCCCACAGTGGGATTCAGCTCCTTGTTGTTCTAAAGCAGTGCTTCTCAACCTTCCTCATGTTGTGACTCTTCAATACAGTTCCTCATGTTGTAGTGACCGCAACAATAACATTATTTTCATTGCTACATAAGTGTAATTTTGCTACTGTTATGAACTGTATTGTAAATATTTTTGGAGATATTTGCCAGCAGGGTTGTGAGCCACAGGTTGAGAACCACTGTTCTAAAGTGACTGAACGCAGGTGTTGTGGTACATACCTGTTATCCTAACAATGGGGAGGCTGGGAGAGAAGGATGGCAAGTTCAAGGTCAGCCTCTGCTTGCTGTATAGCAGGTGCCTGACTCCAAACAAAATAAAATTCAGTAATAAACTTGAAACTACTGTGGTGTGGGATAAAGAGATAGCAGATGGTTCAGTAAAGTGTTTGTCATGCAAGCAAGAGAACCAGAGTTCAGTCACTAGCAATCACATGACAGTCAGACACCACAGTTCGTTCCTGTAATCTAAGTGCTGGGAAGACAAAGACAGAAGAACTTCAAGGACCACTGTAGCCAAATCAGCAAGTTCTAAGCTCAGTGAGAGATCCAGTCTCAAAAACAAGGTGGTCAGTGACAGGGACCACTGATCTCTATACACACATTCACACATGTGCATCTGCACATACGTGTGCATGCACCCATATCAACATGTATACACATACAGAAAGAAAAGGTTAGATTGTAGTGTGTCTGATATTGTTGATATATCCAGATGATTTTTCCACTGGCAGGGTATAGCACTTGTCACTCCCGGTCATCCAGTTTCTCCGAGTTCTGCCACCGAAGAAATACCTCAGTGGGAAGTACATCAACAGGGATTGAGAGCATTCTGGAGCCATGTGATGAAACTGAGCAAATCGCAGCTGAACCAAATCCTGACCCAGCCGATAAAGAAGAAGAAGCCCCTGAGAAACTCACCAGGTACCCTCCCTCGTGGGGACTCTACATGTAAAACATCTTTATTTTCATAGCATGTGCAGTACAAAAGGTGGAAACAAGTGTGATTCTTTTCAAAGGGGCCCGGTGAAGCAGGATTCTGTTGAGTCTCAGCTAAAGCGGGTTGATGACACCAGAGTGGATGCTGATGACGTCGTAGAGAAAATCCTGCAGAGTCAGGACTTCAGCCTCGATTCCAGTGCAGAAGGTGTGCGGGGAACGGATGAGTAAGGGTGCTGGGTCCACTCTGTGTCAGCCCACGTGGTTGGGCTACCACCGCATATTTGTAAAGTCAACTCCGTGTCCACAAAAGCAAAGACAGTTTGTGACTTGTCTGTGACCAAGGCTGGTGACTCTGGAGAAAGAACAAACTTTAGTTTAGTTCAGTAGTACAGCAAATTCCTAGAATGTATGAGGCCTTGGGCTCAGTCCCCGGAACGAGGGGTGGGGGTGGGGTTGGGGAGCAGAGATCAGTTTTGGAGAAAGCTGTCGTGTCCATACACTTTGTCATGTCCCTGGTTCATTTGATGGTCTTGAAACAGTGATGAGTAGAATCTTGGAGTCTCTCCTCTCATTTTCCACGGAAGCTGAGAATTTATATGCCACCAACTTGAAAGGTGCAATTACTCACACTGGTGGGATAGAGAACACTTAACAGTGGACTGTTTTGTTGTGTAACTGGCTGGAAATAGAAATAATTAAACCTCATGAAAATGTGTAGAAAGAGCTGTCATTCCTGTTCAGAGAAAAGGAGCTTTGGGGAAGTTGGTGAGGAGCTGTAGGCTGCCTTTCCAGTTGTCTCTTTCAAAGCCTCTATAAAACTTTGATACATTTAATAAATGTAAAATGTGAATTGCTACAATATCCATATTATTTGAGAGTTGTCTGATAACTGTATGCTTAACAAGCATTCCAATTTATGTGTTGCAGAAGAAGGACTGAGGTTATTTGTGGGGCCTGGAGGAAGTACCACCTTTGGCAGCCATCACCTTCCAAACAGGTATGTCACCCACCAGATAACATTCTGCTAAAACCCAGACTGTCTTAATTCATGAGGAGAGGAAACATAGCTCGGCTATTAGATGACTTGCCTAGCAAAAGCGAAGCCCTGGTTCAGTTTCAAGAGTAACATAACCAAGTGTGATGGCTCCCTCCTATAATCCTAGCACATGAGGAAGTGGAAGCAGAAAGTTTAGTTCAGGGTCATCTTCGGCTACATAGTGAGTCTGATGCCAGCCTGGGCTCTGTGAAAAAAAAAAATCACCGGTCAAGGACAAAGGTTGCAGTTTTCATTGTGCTGAGGCTGAAATAGGACAAATGCCTGTGCTCGCTTGAGAAGACTGGAATACTCTTTCCTTTCCTGGATGTCTTCAACTTTATACTCTATGTTAGTTTGTTGGTTTATTTAAATATATTTTTAGAATATATTGGAAATAGAGCACTGACAATTGTAACATAAAAAGAATATTTAGAACAGCATTTTAGCCTAACATTTTAGACAGGACAAAGCAAGCATTGCCAGCCAGTGCTCTTACCTCTGTGAGCAGCTGTGTGCACATTCAGCAGCCAAGCTGTTGTTGACCTTTCTTGACCTTAGGGACATTTCACTTTTTCAAACAAGAAGTGTGCTTCTGTTTCCATTTTTCATTTTCTCTGTATGATTTGTATATAGGTTGCTTTAAAGATTTTTTTAATGTATGTCTGTGTGTATGTATGCTGTGTGTGTGTGTGCTGTGTTTGGGGGCGGGGGGGGGGGGGGGGGGGGAATACAGTATACAGAAGCCAGAAGAGAGCATTGGAGATCCCTCCTGGAGCAGAGTTACAGACAGTTGTGAGACACCTGATGTAAATGCTGGAAACCAAACTCAGGTCCTCTGGAAGAGCAGGAATGGCTCTTAACTCCTGAGCCATCTCTCCAGTCCCTATATAGTGATTTTTTAAGATATTTTTTGAGGCAGGGTCTCAATGTATAGCCCTGACTGGCCTGGAACTCACTATGTAGAGCAGGGTGGCCTCAAACTCACAAAAATCCATTTGGCTCTGCGTCCTGAGTGCTAGGAATGAAGGCACATACCACCACACCCAGAAAGATTTTCTCTTTGTCACTGGTTTCTTAGAAGTTGGAATGAGATGTGGCTGGATATGTTTCTGTGTTTATTCTGTTTCAGTTTCACTGAACTTCTTGGAGATCCATGTTTATAGATTTCATCAGATTTGAAAATTCTGAACCCATTATTCCATATATATATATATATATATAT